CTGTGGCCTTTGGCTGAATGCCCTCAACTTGATTAGAACAATAATGTTCTGTACATATCAAATGCAAACTCACTTCTAGATACTGTGACCCCGTAAATAGCTCATAAGTGGTGCAGTATCTGAAAAAAGGATTGAGAAAAATGGCAATCTATAGAGAAGATTCTACCTCTTAACACTAACTTGTTCATTGATGGGTTCTTTGCAGAAACTCTAATATCACTTATGTTTCACTGATGCTCCACTGAGCTTGCAGCTATAGTATTATTTCAAGATCACAACAAAACCATTAAGCTCACTTATGCATTTTACCTCTCCAGTTCTATGGAAAAAATGGTTTCTTGACCTTAAAACTTGAAGAAACAAACAAATAAACAACAAAAATATTGTTCTCTTACACTGTCTTATTAAATACAGAAATCCTGGAAGATGGACATCGTTTTTTCCCTAGTTGGAAGCCTAAGGCAGGAGAAAATTCCAGAATGTCAGAAAAAGGAGGCTCTTTTTTCCTTCAATACCTGAGCACTTTCAAAATGATGGGGGGGGGGCGGAAACTCTGAAGCATTTTAAATTGTTTAAGTATTTACATGGTAATTATCCCAGTGAGTGAGAGAAAAAGAGGAAACCTCCTGTTCCTTGACAGCCATGCACTGTGAACAAGTTGCTAGCTGTCTTTGCATACATTATTCTGTCCAGACCTCTCAATTGTCCTTAGAGGTGATCTCCAGGATTGCAAGAATGCCATTTCACAGATGAGGGACCAGATTTTCTGAATATTTGCATAGTTTTTCCCACGATGATGCACTAGGTAATTTAGGGTATTTAAAGATCCCTTTGCCAGACTTTGAAGGAGGTTGTCTTTCTATTTTACCTTTACTGTAAAGTCTTGAAAAGTGTTGGTAATTACGTGCTACAACTGAACATTAATTATCCAAAACTTTCTTATCCACTAGTACCACACTGTCTCTAGTCCACTGAGATTTGGAATTAAATCCCCATCCCAAAGGGTCCAAAAAATCTAATGTCCAGTCTTCCTCTATAAAGTCTACATTATCTCTTACTATCTTCCAGGCAGGGTACCAGTGCCCACTCAAGAAGAGCAATGAGAATGGGTGCAGTTCTCTAAATGAAGCAACCGTTTTCTCCATTTTGGTCTAGTCTATAGCACTGGAATTCTGACTCACTCTCTCTGAGTTCTGAGGGATCAAGTCATCACTCTAAAACTACCACCTGCCTGTCATAATCTCCTGTGGAGAGCCTGGTACCCTGAGACAGTATCTTTTGCCTTTTCTGGGCACCAAAATCTTCTCCCAGTGGACTGGCTAGGTACCTCAGCCTGCATTCCTCCAGTCCTGATGCATTGCTTATCATCGAAGTTCCTACGTTTCTACAAATCAGAGGTTACAAAGGCCTATAGACTTTAGACAGGTAGTGTAAGTGAGTGAAGCTAGACAGACAAGCTAATGTGAACTGGTGCACAGCTGTGGGGTCCGAGGGTCTGGGGAGGAAGCTGCTACTGTGTGATCATCTGAGAATGTGGGCCCAGTGTTATAGCCTGCATGGATTTTTAAAAGAAGACAGAAATCTCAATATTTTATGTAAAATTGGTAACTAATCCAGTGGGGTTTTTTTAAAGATTTTATTTATTTATTTATTTGAGAGAGAGAGAGAGACAGAGCACAAGCAGGGGGAGGGGCAGAGGGAGAAGCAGGCTCCCCGCTGAGCAGGGAGCCAGATGCCCAGGACCCCAAGATTATGACCTGATGCTTAACAGACTGAGCCACCCAGGCACCCCTCAGTGGTATTTTTAAATGTTATGGAGACTCAAGACAGCTGGACACTGCCCACAGGTCCTCCAGTTTGACTTCTGCCTCAGATAATTACTCAGCCCTGGCTTAAAAAGTATAATTCTCATTCTCACAGTCTTCTTCTTTTTTTTTTTTTTATGCTCACAGTCTTAAAAGTCTTACTTGCAACTAGGAGAGGTGAGCCGACAATATAAATTGATGTCTGAACATTAATTTTGGAAAAGTTTGATTACCACATCAATGCATTACAAAAGTAGTCCACTCTAAGTAGTACTGGGAGATAGTTTTCCATGAGTTTCTCACGTTACTACATCCTGTGAGCAAAGACACTGACAGCCTTTGTTTCAGACAATCTGTTCAGGGATGTTTATATTGTTAACAGCCTTGGAAGAGACATACAGAGTCTCCCTCTAGAGCAATTCTAACTCCCCATTATAAAACATTCAGTTTTCCTAAACTCAGGTTTCCTCGCTAGTACTGAACCTATTATCCTATTTGTGTCATTCTGTGAAATTTGTGGATCGGGGGTCCAGTGAAAGTGGTAACACTCTGGCAATTGTTACTGTTGTGAGTGCTAAGTCCTTGGTCTCTGCCAGGGTTCATAAAACAGTGGCAGACTAACACATTTGGCTGCAAAAGGTACAATCTCAGGTTCTTCAGAGTTCTTGACAACTGATACTAGTTTTTCTTCCACTCTGAATTCTGAGTATGGTAGGTCTCTAAAATCCACAGCCTAGGGGCTCCTGGGTGACTCAGTCAGTTAAACATCCAACTCTTGGTTTCAGCTCAGGTCATGATCTCAGGGTTGTGGGATCAAGCCCCACGTCCGGCTCTGTGCTCAGTGTGGAGTCTGCTTCAGATCTCTCTCTCTCTCCCTCTCACTCACTGTCTTTCTCCCTCAAACGAATAAATAAAATCTTAAATAAATAAATAAATAAATAAATAAATAATAAAATTCACAGCCTAGTGTCTTCTTCCGTACTATTTACACATTTCCCCGAATCAATATATCCCTGTCTTGCTTTTGGAAGTACAACATTGCCTATTCTCCATTAAAACAGTCATGAGCTCCCATCATTTTAAAAACCCAAATCTCTTCCTATCTCATTGTCTCTAACTCTTTGAGGCTTCCATCTTTACCTTCAGACAACAGCTTGGTGCTAGCAATAAAATAAAATGACGAAGCAGGCAGTCAAGCTATACTACCTGGATTTGAAACTATATTTTGCCTCCTACTTGCTGTGTTACTTTGGACAAGTTATTTAATCATCTCAAGACTCAGCTTCCTTATCATATGAAATGAGGATAACAATAGTAATTAACTCCCAGTATTATTTGAGAATTAAATAAATTTATATATTTAATGTGCTTAGAATAGTATGTGGTACATAGTGAGAAAGCAATAAATGTAATCGATTATTCAACTGAATATCTCTTCAATAAATTAGTTAAAGCCTCGACCTTAAATGCAGGTTATTTGCGACTTGCGGTCTAACTCTATTATTGGCAAGCTAAATGGTGGATAATTCAGGGTTAGGTAGTGCTTGGTCCTTTCTCAATTCAAATTCTCAGCAGTTTAGAAACGTATCATTTTCATAGGCTTTCTCTTCTGAAAAAACAATCTTCTACAAATGATATGAAGGACCAAATACTAATCCCCCTCAAGTCAAACAGTAAATGAACAAATATACTGTTAAAAAGAAACCACAGGGCCATAATGGAGCCATTTAAGTTAAGGCCCCAAGTCAGTAAACCAAGACTTAATACTTAACCTAACTGCAGTTTCAACTCTCCAGGACTGTGTAACCTTTAACCAGTCAACATGGGAATTTCCTGGTCAGCCCTAGGAAGTTTACTGATAGACCCCTTCCGTTCCACCTAGGAGGGCAGCCTAGCCTAAAACAATGGATTCTTTGCTAACAATTCTCCCCACATCCCCCACCCCTCCCGTACCTTTGAAAACCTTTCCTTTCCTGTTGCTCAGTGGAACTCTTTTCTGTTTGCTACATGGGATGTTGCCCGATTCAGGAATTATGTGATAAAGCCAATTAGATCTTCAAAGTTTACTCAGTTGGACTTTTGTTATTTAGCCATTCTACAAAGGTTTTTCAAAATTGCCAAACAACTTTCGTATGGATAACTCTGTACACTCAAGATGCCTAAATACCATTACATAAACAGTAGAAGTTTTCTTTGCAGCCTTAATCAAAGTCAAGTCACCCAAATATTACTTGTCTGAAGCAATGTTTCCACTGTGCTGTGGCATTTCTAATGGTCTCAAATAACGTCACTGCTTTTCTAACACGTATCCTTTCTATTTTCCTAAGCCTGTGACAATTAAAATAAAAATTTCAAAAGGGTAAAAGGAAAGAGGAAAGCAACAAGAATCTGATTTGATTTTCCTACACTCCCTCCCTTCCTATTTCCAAGCAGCTAATCCCCTCTCAAACAGTACAATAGAACAGCTAGACATAAAGAAAAGGAGATAAAACTGGCCAGCCAGTGCATTGTTCTTGCTAATCTGCACCATTTACATAAGGGTTAGAAGGCTTGTTTTATCATTTAAACAGGCTTAAAAGCCTCTTTGCAAATGAGATTTAGTTCCTACAAAACAATGAATTCTAGCTATTTGGTGAGTTTCTGCTAGACAAGCACTGGGAGCTGACTTGGCAGTAACTTAAGCTACTTCTTTGGCCACATACTGTATATGCAAAGATTGCTTCCAGCTGCCAAAACTGAAAAGTGTCAAGCTGATTAAATTCTTTCCAGGAGGTGAACAAGATGAGGAGGAGGTTAAGAGGCCAATAATATCAGATCTTAAACTATACCTGGGCAAACTCGTCTTTATGCAGGTGCTTTAAAAGTGGCTTTGAACCTTTAGAGCCCTTAGATTCTTCCTTTGAAAGGAAACCAGTAGGGCAGAGAGCAAATGAAATTCAGAAACAGAAAGACTTAAAATTTCTCAAACTGTGTAGTGAGGACAAGCTAAACTCTTTGATTCATTGTTGGTCTGAGTGGCATTGGACACAAGGATAAACTGCAGGACTAACTCCCTCGCCAATGTTAGCACAAAGGATCTTTTCAAGGAAATGATTTTTTTTTTAAACACAGAGGAGTTACACCCTTTGCATCAAAATCTTAGATTTAAAAAATTAAGATTATGTTTATATATACTATACCTATTATTTGTTTTACCTGGCACACCTTGAACAGATGTTCAGTGTGACCTTGGCCTGAGGTTCAGCAGGGTGAGTAGCACGACCTTGGTTAAATTTGCTCCCAGAAGGTACAAGGGTAGTTACTCCCTCCATTCTTAAATCATCAAGATCCTCTGTAACAACATAAACAATTGCAGAGAAAAAATTAGCCCTAATAGAATTAATAAGAAAAGTCCATGTTTTCAGGTATCTGCCAGTAGTTAAGTAAAACATTATTATTTCTGCTTTGCAAAAATATTACCTCATGTATCAGTTATTTTTCAAATCATTTCTAGATGTAGTTGGAGACATATATAAGAAAAGATTTACAGAAGAAAAATGGTGAGAGTGAGAGCCTGAATCCGTTTAGACAATGGGTAGATCATCATCTATGACCACAGAACATGGGTCCACTACCTTTCTGTAACCGTTCAAAGAAACCACACCAAAATCTCTGCTGCAATTAGCCCCAAATGGTCAGGACTTGGTCAATGACTGCCAGCTTCCCTATTTTTGCCTTTGCATCCCACTCAGAGCCAACCAAAGACAGACATATAGTCTTCCAAACTAATTATATAAGATCATTTGTTTCTAATTAGCTTGCCTTCACAGCTTCCTCATGCAACAACCTCTATTAAGCCTTCTTTGTTTTCACTCTTAACCTTTCCTTTTTGTTTTCGTGTGGGGAGGATAATATACTTGGATAGTCATGACCAAGGTTCACTGAATCCCCTTCCAAATTTTCCCAGGTCCTCAATCAAGACTTAAAAGATCTAAGTTTCCCTTGCAATTCAGTCCTGATATAATATGTACATGATATCCTGTTTTATTCAGCGGACAAGGGCTCTGGTAAAAAGGATTCCATTTATTTGTTCTTATTTTTAGCAAAAGAGGGACATAAGGTTTCAAAAGATAAATTACAATTTTGCCAAAACATAATCCATTATTTGAGGTTATAACCTATATAAAGAGGGAAATCACTCTTTCCTGATAAGGCTATAGACTATCCAAACATCTTAGACCCCTCACAAAACAATCAGGAGTATTTCTGGTATAACTGGATATTGTAACCAACAAGTATCAAATTTTCCTGAGATTGTGACAACTTTTAGTTTAAGTCATAAACAGGCTTTCCGCCATCTGAAGACTTGTCAACAGACTCCTTCCGTAGGCAATACCAACTAAAATCTTTTCTTCTACTTGCATATGAGCAATCTGGGCAAGCCCATCGAGTCTTAACTCAATTTCATGGGAGTCATAAAAACTCACCACCTTGACCTGGTTGCAAAAGCTTCTTCCCCTTGTTTTAAAGGCAGTAACCACCACTTCAAAACTTGGTCCTTTTGCTGAGCTAGTTATATAACCTTGTCTCCTGATCTTATGGATCTGTGTTCCTCATACAACATAGACATTACTGTCATCTGAGAACACAGTACTTTTCAGTGAGCTAATTAGCCTCCATGAGACTCTGTTAGTGTCTCATCCTCACATTACTATTTACCACTGCAACACCTTGATATGCTGTTCTCCTGACCCTACCAGGAGAAGAGAACCTCACGATTTTCTTAGCTCAGTTAGGGAACTTACTATACCCCATTCAGTTTTTTTGAAGACTCCCATTGAAAAGTCTGACCTAATATTATTTGTTGGTAGATCATACTTCAAAACTTCAAACTGGAGCAGAATATGCTATTACCAATTTAAGCTTGACTTTGGAATACAGCCCTTTACGTGAAGTAAAATTACTCTAGAAGGCAGAATTAATGCACTTACTTGAGCTTGTCAACTAGACAAAAGACCACAGAGTAAATATATACACAGACACACTTTAAAATATATACATATATATGAGTTTGGGATGCTTTGGAAACAAAAGGGTCAACCCTGTTGGAATCCCCATCAAAAATGGACAAGATGTTTGAGATCCTTTTACATGAATTCCTTCTTTAAAAGGAGGTAGCGATTGTAAAAGTTGGGGCTCATGAAAAAAAGAAATAATATGGGAGCTAAAGGAAATAATCTCTAGCATATCATTTTGCCAAACAAATGGCTTTAACCAAGGTTTTGATCCTATCTAAATTCAAAAGATAAATCCTTAAAGAAATTCAAAGAGACCATTATAAAATATCAACATTTAGTCCCTCATTTTTGAAAAACATAAAATGGAAAAAATGTGGTTCTAGCTTCATTTGTATAATCTCTGGTACTCTCAAGACAGTGCTTTGTGTCACTAGATGGTTTCAAATGTATATTAGCTAAATTTCTCCATGAAACTACTCATCATAGTACAGATAAATTGGCTATTATCTTAAATTTAAGAGAGCTGAGGTATTTTTTAAGTCACATGGACTTGTCACCAGCATTAATTCTAGAAAAACTGTAAATGTGGGACATGGTCAGAAACCAAAGCTTCAAGGGCCCTTTGAACACCTTCTAATGGATTTTATATGGCTTCCACTTTCCATGAGATTTCTCTGTTTTAGTTACCGTATGTCTATAAAATTTCAGGATGGGTTGAAACATTTCTTTGTCAAAAAGCTACAGTCTTTACAATTGCTAAAAATCTGCTCAATTCTGTGTTTCTAACCTTGGGAATATAAACTTTTATATCAAGTGACCAATGCACACCTTTCACAAGAAATACTATAAAAGAAATCTGTAAGGTATTACTCCTTATTCAGAAACCATGTTGCTCTTACCACCTACAAACTTCTGAGAAGGTGGAAAGAATCAATGACGTCCTTGAAATAAAACTAACAAAGCTTTCAGAAACCCTTGAGCTCTTTTGGTCAAAGGGACTCCTACCCACCCTTAAAGCAGTAAGGTCTGCTCCCTCAGGGACATATTGTTTGCTTTGCTGTGAACTAGTAACTGCAAGGCCCGCGTGTTTAAGGATTTTACCTATGATACTATACTCATGCACACAGACATCACAATATATTACAGGTTAAGGGTACATTCAAATAGTCTTCTTAAATGGCCTCTTTATGATATTGAACTATGAGGTTTCATCTATTGGAAGATATATCGGGGAAAAAATGCTCTTGAGCCTCACTGGAAGGAATTCTATCAGATATTGTTAGCAACAGATACAGAAGTAAAACTCCCTGGAATAAGTCCTTGGGTTCACATTTCATGACTAAAGAAGCAATCCAGAATCAACCAAATTGGAAACCTGACCTAATAGGGGACATCAGCTGAAGATTCTCAGAGATTCTCTAGAAGCAGTTGATCTTCCCAGTAGATAGATGACTCAAGACTCAACTTTAGAATAATTCACTCAAGATGGTGGACAGCTCCTGCACAAGATGCGGGATCAAAACATTTGCCTAATTCCTATTTTGTTTTTATCTGCTTACTTATAAGCATTACTCATTTTCTAGAGACCCTTGGTTATTGCCCATGCATAATGGCCCTTTTTTTTTTTATTTCCCTCTTACTAAAATTAGATCAGAGCATAATCATTATAACACCAATCTCAGATTATCCCAGCAATAGCCTTCAAGCTTACTGATTGCTGGATATGCTATTCCTCACTACACCCTAATGACGAAAATCTAAAAGAAATTCTAATCTATGGGAAATGAGATCAAAGGGAATTATAACCAATGGTGTTTTCACTTGTACCTACAGGGACAAATGACCTTAAACAGATCAATTTGTGACTCTACTAGTGTCTCTCTCTTACAGAAAAAGAGAGGGACCTTCCTAAATTGATGGGCCAATTATTTGTCATCTGGACTAAAAGAAATACAAATATGTAAGCCAGCCAATGTAAGGCTTTTGTTCTAACCTCATGTCACAAATAATTCCTTTTTTCCTGGATATCCATGTGTTCCTACCAGATACTACTTTCTTTGCAGCTGGGATAATTAGTCTTGCTTGTCTCACTAATATCTCATGCACTTTAAGAATAGTATTACAAAATTTATCTGTACAAAGACACTCTAATTCTATATATCATCAAATCTGGAAATTACAATTGAGACACAAGCTCCAAAATGAGGCTACCTTTGATTATTCAAGCACATTACCTACAGGTTACCAATTCAGAATTTATACAAACAATCAAAGCAGTGTTTCCAATAATAAGAATCATACAAACAAAAGACTGTAAGACATGTGTTATTATAACTTTGGCAGAAGTTATAAAATTATACCACTTATAATCTAGATGGAATATAGATCAATCTCAATTCCTTGGCAAGACTAGTAATAGACAATGTAGATTTCTTGTTCACTAGTCATGATGGTATCTGTGCCATTTCTAATACTTCTTGCTGTACTTGGCTCAATGAAGCACATAAGTTAGAGAAGGCAATATATTATCTTAAGGAAAAGAGCTATTTGGCTCTGTAAGATTGATCTTTATGACCTGTGGGATTATTCTCTTGGCCTTGGTTAGACATTCAGATTTCTGGTTCTGAAGAATCTTTTTTTTTTTTTTAAAGATTTTATTTATTTTTTAGAGAGCGAGCGAGAGAGAAACAGCATGAGAGGGGAGAGGGTCAGAGGGAGAAGCAGGCTCCCCGCTGAGCCGGGAGCCCGATGTGGGACTCGATCCCAGGACCCTGGGATCATGACCTGAGCTGAAGCCAGACACTTAACCATCTGAGCCACCCAGGCGCCCGGTTCTGAAGAATCTTAAATGGAATTTTAATTATTCTTGTTTATGTCACAGTGGTCATGATACCAGTCCATTTAACTTTATCACTTAATACTTAGTGCAAGTTTTAAATGCTTCTATTAGCCACTTTCTTACCAGATGATCACCATGATGATACAACATCAAAAAGATTAAGAAGCCCTTGTGATACAATTGATTATGGAGACAAGTGAACAATCATCAACAATCATCTGAAGATGTGGATCTTTTGGCCAACTTCCTGAATAAAAGAGGGGACTTAGAGACTGAACATACAGACAGCAGAAAGATCATACAGGACATTAGAACACTATCCACAACCTCTGTTGGAATCAACCAGTGAAGCCTCAGCAGCAGTTACCCCCAAAACATTCAGGACTTGGTTCATAAAGGCCAGCTTTCCTCCTTTTATTTCCATTTCTAACTCAGAACCAATCAGAGAATGTCAAATATGCTCTCCAAACCAAGTGCATAAGGCAGTCTGCTTCTAGTTAACTTGCCTCCAGGTTCCCCATGCCAACAGCTTCCAATCAAAACGTACCTCAAGCCATCCGTCCACCCCATCCCCTCCCCCAACAAACAGTAGAATCTCCATGCCAGAATTCTCTTTGTACTTGCAAATTCAAGAGGGGTATTTCATAAAGCCTTTTGAAGATAGCCCAACCACCCTATCCCCATCTGGGTATCATCCTTTTTTTCTAGCTCAGAATAACTATCACACTGTGGGAGAAAAAGAGAACCCTAGAGTGAGAAGCCTGCTAGAATTTACTTGCTGGTTCATTGGAGACTTTAGGGTGCTGTAAGCCAAGTACCCGAGCAGCTGTGGTGGCTGTGAACTGTCCAATGAAGTTGTGATGATGGTAGGGCAACTGGCTCTTGAAATCTTGGGAGAAGCCTTACTCTGAGAAATCCTCATCCTTTCATTCCTTACCAATATTAGTTCTGCCACAGAAGGTCAATAAGCTCCTAAAAACTATGGAGTACTTGTCAAGCTTTAAAGGGTGATACAACTATAAAGAATCCTGTATCCTATTTAGTCATGGAAGAATACTAATAATCTATGTTTAGTTTGCAAAGGAAAAAAAAATACAAATCTAGGTCTCCATAGCTCCATCTCCTTAACAACTTTATTATAGGGAGCAGTTGTCTAGGATTAAATAAATCAAAAGAAGGAAACAGAAATGCCTAAACTTTAAAAATTTTGGAAGGTTTACACAAATTGAAAAAGAGAGAAAAAAACAAATTAAGGAATTTGAGAAAGATCCTGTCCAGGGAATTTTCTTTTTTTTTTTTTTTTAAGATTTTATTTATTTATTTGACACAGAGACAGCGAGGGAGGGAACACAAGCTGGGGGAGTGGCAGAGGGAGAAGCAGGCTTCCTGCAGAGCAGGAAGCCGACACGTGGCTTGATCCCAGGACTCTGGGATCATGACCTGAGCTGAAGGCAGACGCTTAACAACTGAGCCACCTTGGCACCCCCAAGGAATTTTCAATACCGGATAAGTCAAGGGAAGAAATGCCGAGCGCATTTCCTAAGTATAGAAAACTTAGAATCTGAGAACATCAATGGTATCAATGTTTCCTTCTTCTTTTCTTCCTTCCCTCCTTCTTCTCTCCCTCACTCACTCTTTTCCTCCCTCCCTCTTCCTCTTTGTCCTTCCTTCCCTCCTTTCTTCCTTTCTTTACTTCCTTCCTTCTTTCCTTCTTTTCTTCCCTTTGGGCCTTTTTTCTAAATAAAATATTCTCTAAGATATTCCCCCACAATAGGCAGCCCAGTGTTGTAGATAAAGTCGATATATCATATACCATCTTTGTGGTAAGTAGATACAAATTCAGTCTATTAAGGAGAGACTCCAGGCAACTAGAAATTTCTTTAAAGCAATCAGGAATACATTTTTCATCCGAGAATCTCATGAGTCCTAAGACAACAGTGGTAGAGAAAGATTATGTAAAAATAATCTGATGGAAATTTTAAAAAATATTCTTGGCTCCATTTTGATACTTTGAAATCTAACTATCTAGTGGATGTTAATGTCTACTTAAGAAGGTAGGTAACTCTAATATAATGTGATTAGCCCTATCCCAGAAACAAAACATATAAATGTTTTAAATGTTATGGAAAACAAGAAAGCAACAAACTGAGGTTTAAAAAAAAAGAAAAGACAAAACTGCCAGATACTGTCTATTAGCACTTGGCACTATGCTAATTATGTAGAGTATTTTCAGTTTTCTAACTGAAATATGAACGATAAAGGAATTATTGGAAAGCTGAATACATTAAGTAAGATGTGAGTAAAAGAATACAGGCCAGAAAAAGTGGTAAAGGGCTTTTGGAAGGATGGAAAAACATGAAAATGTACACAGATTTAAAAGTACATAGTATTTTGGGGAATGTTATGCAGCTATTTGACTATAACCTGAAACGTATAGGGATATCGGGATGCAACACTGGAAAAGAGCTTAGCCTCAGACAATGAAGGGTGATAAAGTGATCAAATCTGTGTTTTAAAGATAACCGTAGGTGTATTTATTAAACAATTTTCTAAAGTTATACAAAATTTTTAGAAATATTCTTTTTGAACATAGTTATAATCTCTATAATATAGATACATATTATATGCAATACAATATATAATCATGATAAAATACTCTCCATTGAAATGAATACATTCAACTATGATATTTAGTGAATAAGTTCATAAATACATTATTCATAACTATGAATGCATTTCTCGTTAATATGTTCTTACATAAGGACTTACAATTGTACATGCAACTAAATATCAAGAATATATTTGATATAGTTAATGCAATCAATGTATTATAGAACTGTACCATCCAGTTCATTAGTTATTAGCCACATGTTGCTATGGAGCACTTAAAATGGCTAGTTTGAATTACGATATGCTGTTAAGAGTAAAGTAAACACAGGATTTAGAAGACTTAGTACAAAGAAAATAATATAAAATACCTAATTTATAACTTTTATATTGATTACATGTTGAAATAATAATAGTTTGGGGCACCTGGGTGGCTCAGTCATTAAGCGTCTGCCTTCGGCTCAGGTCATGATCCCGGGGTCCTGGTATGGAGCCCTGCATCGGCTCCCTGTTCGGCCAGAAGCCTGCTTCTCCCTCTCCCACTCCCCCTGCTTGTGTTCCCTCTCTAGCTGTGTCTCTCTCTGTCAAATAAATAAATAAATAATCTTTTAAAAAAAGAAATAATAGTTTGGGTAAACTGGATTAAATAAATTTTATTATGAAAATTAATTTTACCTATTTTTTCTTTTTTTTTAATGTAACTACTGGAAAGTTGAAAATTACATATGGTGCTCCAATTTGTGGCTCACATTGTATTTCTATTGGGCAGTGCTATTTGAGAATATATTTCATGAATATGTTAATAAAAATTATATTTTTAAATAAATGGAACTATGCTATATCTTATAGCTTTAGACTAAATTAACATGCCTTAAATTGATGCAAATAAGAATACAGTCACTGAATATATGCAAAAAAAAAAAAAAGAAGATGGTAGGAAGAGAAAAATAAAGGGGGGGAAATCGGAGGGGGAGACGAACCATGAGAGACTATGGACTCTGAGAAACAAGCTGAGGGTTCTAGAGGGGAGGAGGTGGGGGGATGGGTTAGCCTGGTGATGGTTATTAAAGAGGACACATATTGAATGGAGCACTGGGTGTTATATGCAAATAATGAATCATGGAACACTACATCAAAAACTAATGATGTATGGTGATTAACATAATAAAATAAAATTTAAAAAATAATAATATTTCTGTGAATAATATAATCATATTCATTGACTCTATTCAAAAGATTATTTACTTTCAGTACTTGCTATCCTGTTATCTGGCTTTATTTTTTTCTTATAGCCCTTATCACTACATGAATATGTATATGAACCTGAATTTATACACATATATATATATACACACACATATATACAGAAGACAACATACATAAACCCTTGCAATTCATTTATTTTGAAAAAATTGTTTCTTTTCTGATACCTCAAGATAGGAACTAAGTCTTTCTTGTTTCCTATCATAATCTCAGTGTTTTAGAAGTGTGTCTACCACAGGATATTCATTGACATTTGCTGACTACAGGACTTTTTTTTTAAAGGATAGCCCTGAGTTCCTGTGAGACTTTACTAAAAGCACTTATCAGACACCAGTCTCAAGGGAAGACTTCAGTATAATCTGACAAATTCGGTTAATTATTTGACAAACTGATCTTTTACATGGAATTGGCTTTTTGAAATACATTTGTTGCACTTGCCTATAGCCCTTTGGAAAGGTAAAAACTGAAAACAGGGAGATGAGGCAGGAAGGAATGTCTATCAGTATAGTGAATGTATAAGCTTCTGAGGGCTTGGAGCAAGGAAGTCACAATAAGAAGCGAGAGAAATGTGTTAGAAGGTCGTTTCAAAGGAAGATTCAGTAGGGTTCGTGATTGAATGTGAAATCCTAGCAGGTTTCTCCAACATTACCTTTTTGGGGAATATAGAAAGAGAGAATACCTTTGGTTTGGCACATGCTGAGATGGAGCTAGCTGTCTTCAAGATATCCAACCGGATGTTTGGTAAACAGAAGGACAAGTCTAGGGCTAGGAAGGGAGTGTGTAATGAAGTGATAGACCATATGGGGGCGGGGGGAAAGCTGATATAGTTATCAGCCTAGCAGTTAAAACCAAGCAGGGTCAATTCTTACGTTAACTTTCTCTACCGGTGAAATGATACATTATATTAATATTGTATTTAAAAAAAGAGTACCGAACTTATTTTTTTCATAGTAGAAAATACAAGCAGTTATTTATTTTTAAAGGTAGCCTATAAAATTGTGCAGCATCCTTTGACTCACGGGGACACTACTGAGAAAAATGAACTAATTTATGACTAAAGACTGTGAACACTTTATACAATCTAAATAACCAAGAATTAATCAAGCAAAGAATTGTTTTTATTTAATTTAAGGAAATAATAGCTGCCTAGATGAAATAATCTCAGGACTTTCATTTCATTCAAGTGTAATCCATGAAATAGTTTACAGCTGCTTGAACTAGACAATGTGGGATATGAGTGAATTTTCACATCTGTTTCTGGGAACTTTATAACAAAAATTAAAAGCTTTCCAAACATAAGTCCCTTCACAATGATTCAGTGAAGGGTTACATAAGAATTATATGGCAGTTTTTTCCTGCATTGCAATGGTTTGTTGATTTACGTTGATAGTGATGATTTGGTCAAATATTTTAAGCAGATGTTATATATTCTGAGTGAATTATTAAAAATAAAACAAATGTTAAGAAAATACATAAGAAATTAGACAAGTTTAAATAAAAATATTTATGAAAACTTTTGTTATGTGAAACAGCTATATTTCTTTATAAGAAGGAAAGAAAAAATAGAGAGCAAAACATAATTCACTTTGCTGGGACAAATTCTGGTTGAAAGGTACAGGAAAAATGTTAAGGCCATGCTTCTATTGGTTCTCTTTCTAAAATCATGCCTGAAATATGAGTTCAGCATTCTTTCTTAGTACATCAGAATAGTACAAGTTAACCAAATTTTTAAATAGTAAGAACAAAGTCATAGATATAAAAAATTATAGGATGTAATTTTTTAGAATGACCTTAATTTAAAAAAAATTTGTGGAATTTATATGCTGTGCTGGTTTCCCTCTTTAATAACATAAGAGAGAGCAGGTTACAGAATATTTACTTTCCTTGATCACATGAGATCAATAAACAAAGAAAGTGATTAGACCAGTAAGTTAGGGAAAATGTTTACAGAAATTTAAGTTTACATAAATTCTGTATCTTCTATTAACTGAAAGGAGCAAGAAACTTCCTGAGATATCTTTGCTAGCTACCAGTTCCTGTTTAATTTCTTTG